CAGAAATCAATGCACATTGGCACTGCCTTGTATTGACATTCTGCTACTTTCTGGCAAGGCTGTTTTTTTTTTTTTTTTTTTTTTACATTTTCTTCTCTTTAGCCCAGGCAGCACCAACCAGAAGGCTTGAGGTTCCATGGTGTAACGGTTAGCACTCTGGACTCTGAATCCAGCGATCCGAGGTCAAATCTCGATGGGACCTTGATTTTTTTACCAGCACCGCACAAAAAAAGCTGGAATAGCATTCTTAGCTCTTGAAGGCCGGAAAATGACAGTTACTCTGAGCTTTTTAGAAAACATGGCAGAAAGTGGCCGGTAAGCTCAGCTGGTTAGAGCGTGGTCCTAATAACGCCAAGGTCGCGGGTTCGATCCCTGTACTGCCCAAGCTTTTACCCTTTAAGGCCTCAGAGGCATTTCAGGATTCTGTTTAGTCTCACAGACATGAATGCTGCAGGATACTTGTGAAAGGGCAGACGAAATAGCTCTGTTGGGCGAGCATTAGACTTAAGATTTAAAGGTCCCTGGTCCGATCCTGGGTTTCAGCAAAACAGTGCTGTTGTTCTATTTTGTGCACAAGGGTCAGGTGACTGAAAGTCACCCAAAAAGCCTATCTGCTTCACCCTTAAGTCCACCTGCTTCCACTTGACCAAAACGCTATCTTCCTCCCAGATAGTCACATTGCTTCTGGCGATGATTCCAATGGCCTGATCGACAGCACTCTATAATGCTATGTATTTAGCGCTTTGATGTCCCACTGCGGACACGCTGCTGAATAAAAGAAAACTGTGACTTTATAGGGCTTCTGAATGCTTGCAATGATATGTACGACACGGAAACCGGCAAAGCTGACGTAAGTAGTTTCGCTTTAAACCCTCAAGGTGCCACCAGCTTTGCAAAAAAAGCCAATGTAAAAAGGCATTAAAAACAGAGGTGGAGAATGCAGGCATTGTTCCCGCTACCTCTAGCATGCAAAGCGAGCGCTTAACCATTTAATCTAATTCCCCTCAGAGCAATCAAAAATTGGCGATTTTCGACGTGGTCATAATAGAAAAAAAATATCAAATTTGCTCTTTGCCTGCCTTTTTTTTTTTACATTTTTTAATGTATTTTTAAAATATGATGCACAAACTTATTGATGATTCCTACTTATCTTTCTCGTGATAAATAGTTGGCAAAATCTGATATGTAGCGGGGGAAAAAAGAAGAAGTTCATCAGATGCTGGATTCGAACCGAGTTCATGCTCGAACATGTCAATACATGATCACATGCGTCTAAAGAGCTGCGCCACTGTGACTGACAAGAGTACTGCAAAATTTTACACCTATAAATCACACTATTTCTGTTTTAATTCACTCAGCGCGATGTTCAGACCCAACTGTGTTAACCGCATCAGCTAAACTCTCCCACTCTATTTTTTTCTTTTGTTGTTAATTCCGGAGAACAAACTTGCAAATAACACCGCTTTTCTCCGGTCTACCTCCGAAAGCAGCACCTCCAGTTCACATTTTGTTCAAAGTTTCTCTTTTTGCTTGCTTTTGCCATTGCTTTTTCGTTGGGTTTTGCCATTAGCATAGTCATTAGAATATTCATACGGGGGAGGAGGCAGGGAGGGGTTTTGTGCTCAGCCATGTTGCGCTCAGTTTCACGTTTATTCGGATGTACAAAAGAATTTGCGTGAGATTCGGCGTACGCAGTGTTTCATACATCTGAATTTTTTTCTGCGTACGCATATTTACAGCTTTGTGCGTACGCAATGTTATAGTATGATTTCCACGCAAGTCTTCATACATGAGGCCCCTGGTAAGTCAGTTTTTTAGTTATAAAAGGATCTGAAATGAGTAATAAATGCAGTTTTGTTGCTTCCACTCAAAAGTGTAACTGCAATCTCAGAGTCAGAAAACATGATTTTAAAAACCTCTGTAATGTTCTTATTCTATGTGAAAGAGTGGTGCACAGGGATTGTTTTAAAGACCCACATCACATCTGCCTGCAGAGCTGGTGTTGAACCACAGTAAGATAGGATGTTCCTTTGCTGTGGTGGCAGTGTTGGGCAAGCTACTTGAAAAATGTAATGAGCTAAGCTATTAGCTACTCTACTTAAAAGCTTACCTCTTAGAAATGTATCAAGCTAAGCTATAAACTCCTTGGCAAAAGTAGCCTTGCTACATCCAAGCTATTTTTACAATATTCATATTTAAATCGAAGCAAGTTAAATCCAAGTCAATCATATCTTAGTGATCAATAAAACTGTCAATGAAAAATAATTTAGTTCAGTTATTTACTGTAAATAATATGTTGTACCAAACTGAAACAAATTGTAGTATATAACAGCAAAAACTAAAAATCCAAAAAAAAAAACAGGTGTTACACAATTAAAATACTATAGTCATTTATAGTAAAGGCAATTACTTTGCAATAAGCATTATATTGTATATATATTTACAACTCTAATCTCTCTCTGTCATCTTTCAATCAAGCAAGTTTCTCGTGTCAGCCCAATGATTGTTTGGTGACATCACCAACCAGAGCGAGAGGTGGCAATAACGCATCAAAAACTTTGTTATCGACCACCGTAAAACAGGAAGAAGAAACTGTCATTGTTCTAATGTAGAAATTTCTTCATTACTGATTGTTAAAGCTGTTTCAGTAATCAAAGAGGTTTCCGCTGCACAGAACTGCACAACAGGTGGTTGGCACTGACAAGCAGCACTACACGCGGTGGGTTTGGCAACCCCCGATATGGGAGTCCAGGGCCGTAACACCCATTGACGCTATCGTTTGCTTAAAAGATTTCCGGCATCAACAGCAGTAGGCGTCGCGGTCATTTCCTGGCACAGGCTTAACCCAAACTCAATTCGAATTCCTTGGCCACAGTGACACTTTCCCATTTTAGCCGACAAACTGGGCTAGTGACTATCTTGTTCTGTACGTCACCTCAAGTAACCATATGATGGGTGCGCATGCTTTTACGCTTTCTGCTATGACGTGGAGCGTGAGGTGCACTCAACGTTACGCTGCATGAATTTTTAATTAGCCTACATTAGTAAGAGTTCATTTTGTTACGGTATGAACTTAATCCTAGGAAAGGCAAAAATAAATTAATAAATTTGTAACCTTTGTAATACAATTCAAGACTTTATTTACAAAATTCAAGGCTATTAAGGCCTTCATTTGAGATTATGAAATTTAAGAGTTTTTCAAAGCTTTTAAGACCCCGCAGGTACTATGGACATGGACCTTCAGCATGCAGTGGGACGGTTTGCTGCTAAGTGTGACATGGCAGGGAAAGAAACAGCACCTCTAAGCAGAAACCATAATGCTTGACTAAAAAACATTGGCCATCTCCAGTTTGGCAAAGAGTCCTTACCCCATATGGAGTTTAATTATCTGCATTTTTTGCCATGAGGAATGGAATATGAGATTAAAAGATGGATCAGTGCAAAGGCAGCAGTAATGCAGTGTCTGTGTTGGTGAAGGAGCTGAGACGAAAGGTAATCTAAGTACCTACTCTCAGCTATGGTCATGACTGAAAGGACAAGATCTCGGATACAACCGGACACATTAAACAAAATGTTATTACCTGCTTGTTTGAGTCGCAGCATAAAAGAGAGATGAGCCAACAAAATAACCTGAATGCAAATGATTTATTATAAAATGTAACTCATAGAACAATCAATCAAAGCAACCAACAAATGTCTAGGGATACCAATGAAGATAAAGAACTTAGGATATAATCACAACAACACTTTAACTACATGATATAAGTAATGCAAAACAAAACCATAAGGTTAAAGAGTCAATGAGATGGCAGGTCTTGACATGAGGACTCCTGAGTAGCCACAGGTCCTGAGGTAGCTAGCACAACAACTTTTATATAGCCATTGATGAGTAATGCAGGCATCCAATCACGATTTACCACATACTCCAATCTGGATTTCTCATTCAGGAAGTCAGACAGAGAACATCATCCAAAACAACATTAGCTACTAGTACACTGGAGAGTGGATAACAGAGGAGATTTCAAGCCACAGAGGTGCTGTTTGCCAGATGTTTATGAAACTGTTCTTCTCTCAGCCGCCATCATTGTGTTTACATAAATGCAAGGAGCGCAACAGATTTACAACCCCATCTACTGCAGTGTCGGAGTGTTGGAAAACAGTATACCTATTATACTGTTATTTATAGCCTATTCAAACATTATTCAGACATGAAACATCCTGTGCACATAAGATGTTTTTCTGCATTCATGTCATGTGTGCAACTTTTTGTCCACGTGTTTCTTAAGCTGCGCCGAATGAGTGAAACTCTGTAGACACTGATCAGATCTGTACGGTTTCTCTCCAGTGTGAATCCTCTTTTGGGTTTTGAGATGTTAACTGATTAAACCTCTTGTCACAGTTTGAACACTTGTACGGTCTCTCCAGTGTGAATCATCTGGTGCAGTTTTTGGAGCTGAAATAAAAGTCTTCTCACACTCAAAGCACATATACTCTTTCACACCAGTGTGGATCTTCATGTGTTCATTAAGGTTTGGTGATTGGTTAAAACTCTTCCCACACTGAGTAGATGTGAATGGTTTCCCTCCAGTGTGGGTCTTCATGTGTTTAATAAAGGTCTGAGGATCTGCTGAAACTCATCCCACATCGAAGCTGCGGTCACACTAGAATTTGAGCATGCGAAATTCTGTTGTACAGCGCTGTGAAAAGGAGCCGGATTAAACAAGATGATCAGACATTTAAAAAGCGAGCGATTGGTCTATATTTTACTAACTGTCCAGAGAGATCTTGTTTTGATCTTCGATAGGTCTCACACAGTCAAGTTATGCAATTTTACAGTTCAGAATTCACCAAGCTTGAATTCTGCAAGGCAATGAACTGCGAAACTTGAGGCATGAACTTGCATTTCCGGTCTGACGCATTCACGTGCGTATGAATGGAAGTCTATGGAGAGAAAAGTCCAGTGTGACCACAGCTTAAGTGCAAGTGAATGATGTCTCTCCAGTGTGGTTCCTCATGTGATAATTAAGGGATGTTGATAGGCTGAAATTCTTCCCACACTGAGGGCATGTGAATGGTTTCTCTCCAGTGTGGATCCTCATGTGTCGACTAAGGGAGAATGAGCAGTAAAAACTCTTCCTACACTGAGTGCATGCGAATGGTTTCTCTCCAGTGTGGATCCTCATGTGTTGATTAAGGTGTGATGATTGACTGAAACTTCTCCCACACTGAGTGCATGTGAATGGTTTCTCTCCAGTGTGTATCCTCATGTGTAGATTAAGGTATGATGACCGGATAAAACTCTTCCCACACTGAGTGCATGTGAATGGTCTCTCTTCAGTGTGGATCTTCATGTGGTAATTAAGGGATGTTGATAGGCTGAAACTCTTCCCACACTGAGTGCATGCGAATGGTTTCTCTCCAGTGTGTATCCTCATGTGTAGATTAAGGTATGATGACCGGATAAAACTCTTCCCACACTGAGTGCATGTGAATGGCCTCTCTTCAGTGTGGATCCTCATGTGTTTGTCAAGGTGTGATGATTGGCTGAAACTCTTCCCACATTGAGTGCAAGTAAATGGTTTCTCTCCAGTGTGGATCATCATGTGTCGATTAAGGGAGGATGAGCAGTTAAAACTCTTCCCACACTGAGTGCATGTGAATGGTTTCTCTCCAGTGTGGATCCTCATGTGTCGATTAAGGGAGGATGAGCAGTTAAAACTCTTCCCACACTGAGTGCATGTGAAACGATTCTTGTTTCTCCTTTTCAAAAAAATATTTTTTTCCTCAATTTTGACATGATGTTCCTCCTCTTTACTCCCCTCATTCTCTTCAATGCGTTCTGAAAGAAATAAATAAAACATTAGTTTTCATTAAGTCTTAAAAACGCTCATCAAAAGCTGAAAAGTGAAAAGACATCACACACCTTTTCACGTACGTTTTTACAGATGTCCACATTGCAGGGCAGAAAGCAATTAGATGTATTCTTTGGCAAGTTTTGTAAATACCCAAGTGTCCACTTAATGGATGTGCGTGGTAGTGTTGGAGGAGATTTGGGATAAGGGTGGCATGTATATATATATATATATATATATATATATATATATTAAGGGTGGAGCCGAACCCGAATACGGTATTCGGAAAGGCACGTATAGCATGTTTTTACGAATACTTGATTCGAACAAATACTTGAAAAATTATTTGTATTCGGGAGCAAGAAAAACACTATCAAAAAGCTGCGTTTTCTCATGAGACCACAGTGCATGCCCGCGTGAGTGAGTGAGTAAAAGAGAGAGAGAGAGAGAGAGAGAGTGAGAGAGAGAGGGAGAGAGAGAGAGAGAGAGAGAGAGGCAAAACGCGCCAAAGCCTGAAACTGAAAGCGAGACGTGACTTTTAAGGGGTTGTTTCATATGGATTTATTAATCATTCTTACTGTTCAGTGATCGCAAACTGCCGTAGTTTATTAAAGACGCAAACCCCTCACTGCACGTCAGCTGCGCGCCTTCAGCAGACCTCCTCATTCCTGCAGCACGAGAGCTTTATGATTGTTTATGAGTGCCAAAAGTGGCGGATCTGTTCGGCGAAATATCTGACTGCGTGTCACCGCATCCCTAAGGACTATTTGGCGAAATATTTGACTGCATGTCACTGCATAACAAACGACTGAAAGGATATAACTAGAAAAATCTCCACTGTGCTACTGGGTGAGAGCGTATAGCAAGCCGTTTTAGCATTTAAACCTTGTTCAGACTATCCATAAATATATTTAGAGATATCTCTAATTATATTTTGACTTGTCATAATTATAATTCGACTAGTCAGATTGGAAATATCTGCAAATATATTATGATAGACTAGTCATATTCCTCCATTGACTTCCATTGAAAAATATTTGCAGATATCTCTAAATAAGTTTTGACTAGTCACAATTGTAATTAGATATATCTCCAAATGAATTTTGACTAGTCAAAAATCCAATTCAAGATATCTACAACTGTAATTAGACTTTTAGTAAATTAATTAGAGATATCTTCAAATATATTTGTAAATATCTCTAAATATGATGAATTAAAGATATCTCTAAATGTATTATGACTAGTAAAAACTCAGAGATATCAATTACAATTGTTACTAGTCAAAAGTCATCTGATTTCGTACTAGTACAATTGTAATTGCAGATATCTCTAATTGTCATTCTGAGTAGTGGAATTATAATTATGACTAGTCAAAATATAATTAGAGATATCTCTAATATATTAATGGAGTCAGAACAAAGATTTAAATGCTAAAAAGGCTTGCCATAGAGAGCGCTTCTCACTGAACAGAGCACCGCGCAACCTTCTATGTAATGTATTATCACATGCACTAAAAGCATCCTAAAAGCATAAACACAGCCACATTCTGCCCCAGCAAGTCAGTTTCAAACATAAAAAAAAAACAAACAAACAAACTTTGTGTCTTTTTTTGTGGCTGGCAGATGATAATACCAGGGCTGTATCTTTTAGTATTATATAGAATACTTTTGTTCTGCCAGATCTCCCGGGCAGGGTTTTATTTAGATTTATTTAGTTAATATTAGTTTTTGGAATTCTGTCCATTGGAAAGAAGTTCTTTCAGAAGAAGAACAGTTTTTTGAAGTATTGTTTGTTTTTATTCTGTCTATTCAGTGTCCTTCAATAAGAACGGTGGTGGTGGGGTTCATAATATTCACAATGGTATTTTATTAGTTGTTGGTTTAACCATGGATGAGATAATGGCTTCTATGTTATTTTCTTTTCAATGACATTTCTTATCACATGTTCAAAAACAACAACCAATATTGCATATCTATAATTTATATAATTGGTATAATTAAACAATACTTTCACTATAACGTAAATTAGAAGTGTAATAGAAAAAATATTTATTTTTGCGCCATTTTGAATTTTACTCGAATACAAATACAAATACTTTTCCCCCTCAACAAATACAAATACCGGCTGCTCCGCACATCCCTAATATATATATTCTGTAGTGTTTGAGTTTATCTTTCAACAGGAAACAATAATATAACTTGTCATAAAATACCCCAAACTGCTCATGCATAGTAGAATCTTTATCTGCTAGGTTCTGCAATATCTTGATTATATCTGGTTCTTTGTGTTGCTCTTCCCAGATTTCTGCAATGGAGATGGGAAATACTAGTTCTTTTATAGCTGAATACACGACAACCAGGTAAGGGATGAATGCAAGATAAAAGCACCTGGTGCTTCATTCAGTGTTCCCTTATTGTACTCAACCACAAAGTCAAATTTTTGAAGACAAAGGGGCCAGCGGATTAAACGTGAGGTGGTCTTCGTGGAGTTCATGACCCACTGAAGAGTGGAATGATCAGTGACAATAATGAAGAGTTTTGCCTCCAGGAAATGTCTCCACTTTTCGATAGCCTCTAGCAGGGGTTTTCAAACTTTTAGGACACACGCCCCCCCAAGTTTGTCCAATTTCACTCGCGCCCCCTCCCTTTTTCGTCCAACGAGCCAAAATTATAAGGCATGTGCAAACATCACTCCCATATTATTTGCTGCGTTTAAAGTGCATATAATAATTACACTGAATCATAAACATGTAGCTTACCTGATTCAGTGTGATAAATGAGTCTGTTTTTGATGTACGTACACACAGAAAATGCTGCTTCGCAGAGCCAAGTTGAAGCAAAAGGCAAGAGTACATAAATTTCAAGTTCCGAAAGTTCAGCATATTCTGTATCCACTGCCAGCCAGAATTCTGAGTGTGGTTGAGTCGAACAGTGTCTTCAAAGTACGGTCACTTGAAAGGTGCAGAAGGGCATCCAGCGCTTCGTAAACTTGGTTCCAATTATGCTGCTCAGAAAAATACCTATTGAAATGTGCAGACAGAGATGGCAGATGGAGAGTGATTTCCGTTTTAGTAGTATCCCAGTTAAACACATTTTCTTTGATAAATTCATCCAAGGTCAGGAACATTTCTAGATTTTCTTGCATCCACCTGCCCTCTCCATCGCTCCAGTTTCTTCACAAAGCCCACAATTTCATCAGACATTGTTAGTAGGTTTGAACACAGGCCTTGAAGGGACAAATTAAGCGAATTAAGCCTATCAAATATGTCAGACAGGTATGTACAATCTGTGAGCCACTTAGTGTCAGTAAAACGACTCCTAAAGGAAGATCCACAATCAATTAGAAAAATCCTCAGTTCGTCATGCAATGAAAAAATACGCTGCAGGATTTTGCCTGTGGAGAGCCATCTAACCTCCTTGTGTTGACTGGTCATCGTTTGTTTTTGTCCTCTTAATGCTAATTCTTTACATCGAAAAAAGTTGACAAATCTTTTGACATTGGATGTTTCATCTGAAAGTGACGCACCAGTTTCACAGGTTTTAAACAGTCATTTGCAAGGACCTCTGAACACACAACACATTGTGGACATGGTTCGTTATTAATCGTATTGTATGTACTGTTTATCATACTTCCGTTGCTTTGATGCACACAGGCCTTGGTTTTTGCAGTGAACGTTAATCCTCTCGGTGTGGAGATCCCCGTTGACGCGGAGGGTTGGTCATCTGTTTGCTTTAATGTTTCAGAAGGGCACTCGTCATCTTTTTTGTCAGACGATTTACCGGTGTTATCTTCACCGTCATTCATTTTGAAAAGCCACAGGTCCATTTTTTGTATATGTTTTACGCGATCGCATTAACTACAAAAGGTGCCTCGTGCTTGTTAGTTAGCTGCGGGACTAATCAGATTGACTCTTGTGAACATAAAAAAACATCATATTTACTCGAGTGCACACCTCAGTTTCTCGCTCCCCCTTAACAGGCGCTGGCGCCCCACAGTTTGAAATCCCCTGGCCTATAGTATGGCTAAACATTCCTTCCCTGTAGCTGAGTAATTAACCTCCAGTTTGGTCAGTGTTCGACTTCCATAGACAATAAATTCCTCCTGTCCTTGCGCCTTGTGTTGTGTCAACACTGCACCTACTCCTGAATCACTGGCATCGGTGGAAACCACAAAGGGGAGTCGGAGATCAGGATGTCAAAGGATGGGAGGCGAGGTGAGATAAGTCTTTAATTTCTTCAATGCTTATTGACATTGAGGTGTCCATTGAAAAATTTGCCCTTTTTTCTTCAATAAGTTCATAGGCTCTGCAATTTGAGGAAAGTTTGGCACAAACATATGGTACCACCCTGCCAATCCAAGGAATCTTTTAACGTCTTTGATGTTTTTTGAAACCGGGTAGGATTTTATCGCTTCTACTTTAATGGAATCAGAAGGAATGACCTGGGTGTTCACCACATGTCCCAGAAATGATAATTTATGTTGGCAGAATTTACTTTTCTTCAGGTTAATGATCAGACCAGCTTTGTGTAACCAGGTGATGACACTTTGAAGATCTTTAAAGTGTTGGGTGACTGAGGGCGAGTATATGATGATGTCATCAATATACATATAACACATTTTTCCCCGCAACTCTCCTAGGACAGACTCCATTAATTGCTGGAATGTTGCTGGGTCATTTTAAAGTCCAAAGAGCATAACTTTAAAGTGGTATAGGCCCAAGAGCAATGAACGCAGTCTTGGATTCACTTCCAGGCTTCATAGTTACCTGCCAGTACCCACTGTTGAGATCAATCGTGGAGAAGATGACAGCACCAGAGAGGGATTCCATCTCTTTCTGTGATAGAGTTCACTTTACGATAGTCCACACAGAACCTCATACTACTATCT